CAACTCACAATAGCAGTCACGCGTGAAACTACGCGTTCCAAGTCCTCGATAACACAAGAGCACGCGAATTCCGCGGTCTAAAAACAGCAGAATAAACGAAACACGATTTTAAGGACGAAAATCCCTGATTTCTCGTCGACGACGGTGTCTGTACTATTTAATCACAAGAACGTTCCACGCGCCTCTTACCTGCCACTGAAACAATCCACTTGCTCTATTATATAATTACGACACTGCTCTTTGTCTATTCCCTTTCCCTGGTTCTCTCTCTCTCTCCCTCTTTGTTTAGTTACCACTCAAGCCACCCGAGCAACAACTTATGCTAGTTTTACCGGGGAAATGAAGCATATCGCGGTTCACATTTCGGATATATGTATGCAGCGCGGTATGGAGCGTGTGGTGGAAGAAAGTCTCGACGGTTGTCAGAGCTGTTTCACGATGGTTGTTGCTTATCAACAGGTACGTGTGGCAAAGCTGTTCTCTTGGATTGGAGGATCTTTTGGTTGCTAGTTTTTGGAGGAAGTTTGACGGTTCTAGGATGTGTGATGTTCCTTTCGAGTGAGTGGATACGTTCGTTGTTGGTTTTGGGTGGCGGGATTAATATTTTGAGAATTATAGGTTGTAAATTTCAACTATAGTTGTGATACAAATAGAAATTCGACGTGAAGGTGGGATATTTAAATGTTGATTAGAATTTCTTTGATTATTTTGTGAGTATTATACACTTTCTAAACTTATAATCTTTTTTGTTGGTACTGTATGTTTGGTAGATTAAAGTATACTGCTGCCTTTTCTAAAAAGAGTGCAGGATAAGTGCAATGAAGTACCAATGACTGTTGCAATAACTATTAAATTATACTAGTTAGTTCTTGAAGTAGTTGGAAAATAATCAAGTAGGTATATTCTCGGAAATCCAATCAGCGATAAAAAGTTAGACAAGCTAATCCTCTCTCAATCAGATAATTAATATGTAGCGCTAGATTAAATAATATTTAGCATTCAAGAATGAAGATGAAAGTACTTACTTACAAACGATCAAACTAAATAATTGATTACTTCCTATTTATTGTGATGCACCAATGGAAGCTACATAGAGGGGTTATTTATAGGGGTGGAGAAATATGTTGAGAATGTATAAAGACGTTTTGTGTACGCGGAGCCTTTGTTCCCGTGTGAGTTGAGGTTGCAAATTGATCGAGGTGTGGGATACGGTTGCAGTAGCAGGAAAAGAACTTTTATATCGTTGAACGGTGATTTTTAAGTAGCAAGATATTACGCGGAGCCTTTGTTCCCGTGTGAGTTGAGGTTGCAAATTGATCGAGGTGTGGGACACGGTTGCAGTAGCAGGAAAAGAACTTTTATATCGTTGAACGGTGATTTTTAAGTAGCAAGATACTTTTATTTCACTGTACATCTTTGAAACTTGAATACACACATTGTTGCAGTCCCTATTCTCGAATGCAACATCGATGGAAGTACTATTTCGAATGCACAACATTGTTATACGCGTTACTTTTCAATGCAACATTGCTTGAAGGGTTATATATAAACGCAAACATTGCTGGAATCACTATTTCTAATTGCAACATTATTAGAAGCGTTATTTCGAACGCAAACGTTATAACAAGCACTACGCTTGAATGTAACATTGTTACAAGCGTCATTCTAGCTTGTAACATCGTTAACTTCTATTATTTTGGAATGCACATTGTGGCAAACGTGTTATAGAGTTTGCAACATTGTTGCCGCGAATCGTTCTCGAAAAACGCAGATTGTTGCACGGTGCGCCGTTTTGCAACTTTGTTGCCCCGAATCGCTCCCGAAACTTGCACATTGTTGCAAACGCGTTCTGGATTTGCAACTTTGTTGTCTCGAAAATTTGCACATTGTTGCACGGCACCCCGTTTTGCAACAATGTGCAATTTTCGGGAGCGACTCACGGCAACAAAGTTGCAAAGCGCGATTTCCCTTTTACAACTTTGTTCCTACGAGTCACTCCCGAAAATTGCACAATGTTGCAAACGCGTTCTGGATTTGCAACTTTGTAGCCGAAAAACGCTCCCGAAAATCGCACATTGTTGCAAACGCGTTCTCGTTTTGCAACTTTGTTGTCTCGGAAATTTGCACATTGTTGCACGGCGCCCCGTTTTGCAACAATGTGCATTTTCGGGAGCGACTCACGGCAACAAAGTTGCAAAGCGCGATTTCCCTTTTACAACTTTGTTCCTACGAGTCACTCCCGAAAATTGCACAATGTTGCAAACGCGTTCTGGATATGCAACTTTGTAGCCGAAAATCGCTCCCGAAAATCGCACATTGTTGCAAACGCGTTCTCGGTTTGCAACTTTGTTGTCGCGTGTCGCTCCCGAAAAATTCACATTGTTGCAAAACGGGGCGCCGTGCAACAATGTGCCAATTTCCGAGACAACAAAGTTGCAAAGCGCGATTTCCCTTTTACAACTTTGTTGCTACGAGTCACCCCCGAAAATTGCACATTGTTGCACGCCGCCTCGTTTTGCACCTTTGTTGCCCCGAATCGCTCCCGAAACTTGCACATTGTTGCACGCCGCCTCGTTTTGCACCTTTGTTGCCCCGAATCGCTCCCGAAACTTGCACATTGTTGCACGCCGCCTCGTTTTGCACCTTTGTTGCCCCGAATCGCTCCCGAAACTTGCACATTGTTGCACGCCGCCTCGTTTTGCACCTTTGTTGCCCCGAATCGCTCCCGAAACTTGCACATTGTTGCACGCCGCCTCGTTTTGCACCTTTGTTGCCCCGAATCGCTCCCGAAACTTGCACATTGTTGCAAATCCAGAACGCGTTTGCAACAATGTGCAAGTTTCGGGAGCGATTCCCGGCAACAAAGTTGCAAAAGAAGAGATGGCGCTTTGCAACTTTGTTGCCGTGAGTCGCTCCCGAAAAATGCACAATGTTGCAAAACGGGGGGCCGTGCAACAATGTGCCAATTTCCGAGACAACAAAGTTGCAAACCGAGTACGCGTTTGCCACAATGTGCAAGTTTCGGGAGCGATTCGGGGCAACAAAGGTGCAAAACGAGGCGGCGTGCAACAATGTGCAAATTTTCGAGACAACAAAGTTGCAAACCGAGTACGCGTTTGCCACAATGTGCAAGTTTCGGGAGCGATTCGGGGCAACAAAGGTGCAAAACGAGGCGGCGTGCAACAATGTGCAAATTTTCGAGACAACAAAGTTGCAAACCGAGAACGCGTTTGCAACAATGTGCAAGTTTCGGGAGCGATTCCCGGCAACAGAGTTGCAAACCTGTAACGCCTTATATATATAGGTAATTGCCAAATGTGATACAGTTATTGAAAAATTAATAAAGTCTAGTATTAGACGCATTATTGTAATTGCTTGGTGTAACAAACCACTGAAATTGAACAAATTTCCAAATATAAAATATCTACCCTGAAATTTATCGCACTGATTACAAGAAGCAGACATTTTCATGATAATGAGTCAGTTTAAATATTATTTCCCTTTATTTACATTGTTATCGGTAATTGTAATAAGCATAACGCACATTTATTATTCTAAACCGTGTAATATTCGCAATCATAAGATTAACCTTTACGTTTACAGCACAAAAAGTACTTGCAGACGATATTTCTTGCTTTAATATAACATTACCGATTAGTTCAATCACAGTATATCAAATTTTCTACTTTCTCCAAACACTTTAATCAAACCATAACGAATTACAGAAATCGACTGACAAAAAACATCTGCTTCAAAACCGCAAATGCGTGCAATTGCTTTTCGTACTCACTATATACAGGGTGTCCCATTTTCTTTTCGATCAAACTTTGTCAGTAAGTTCTACGGATATAACTAAGAGAAAAATGTTATATAAACATAGGTAGTGTGAAGCTTCGTTGAAAAGTTATAACACAAATACGAAATACGAAAGGAATTGCAACGAACTTGCGGTTGCTATGATTCGAGATCAAAATTGCACTGGCAAACACAGGTCGCATAAACAGACTAGATGTTCACATCGTTGATCTATTCTTATTTTGTATCATAACCTCACATCTGTTACCATTAGCTTCGCATTTCGTATTAGTGTTATAACTTTTTAATAAAGCTTCAAACAATCTATGTTTATATTACATTTTTTTCTTACTCATATCCATAGAACGTACTGACAAAGTTTGATCGGAAAAAATTGGGACACCCAGTATATGGTGAGTCCCCTAAGACTATGTAGAACCTGAAATATCTTCGAAACTGTCGATTATACCGAGAAATGTTTCAGACCAAAGTTGAACGGTGTCAAGGGTAACATAATTTGAGGTGATTAGATTTTCCTTAAGTTGTCACGTAGAGGAGATATTTGTTTTGTTTTAAATAGAATTGTATACTTTTGAACGCATTAATTTATGCCGAAAAACCATTAGTTTAGGAGATATTTTAATTTCAACATTGCGAAATGGTACTAGTACACCTACCTGCATCTATGTTTCTCTTTATAACACCTTGTATTTTTTTTCTACTAAATGATAATTCAACAATATGCGTGGTTACCAACAGAATTTACCTTAAAACGTTAGAATGTCTTGAAAACTGTCTTTTTTAAGAAGTATACGATTTCATTTAAAAAAAAAAAAATAAATTTGACCAACCTAATAAAAACTAATCACATCAAATTATACCACCCTTAACATCATTCTACTTTCGTTTCAAACATTTCTCGGTAGTTTCAAGTTCTAGTCTCAGGTGACTCACCCTTTATACTAATCTGAACACCGAACAATTACCAACATTATCATCATAATTTTCTACCTCGTTCCTCGATCACCGTTAACACAATCTCGACTACATCATTCTTATCACAATTACAACTATCGCTACTGTAATCATTCCAAACACACTCATCGTCGTAGAATTATCATCGGGATCGCCATTGTCGCTACAATTTGTCACGCGTGACTCATTCTCGCGCTGCGTCGAGGAAAATCTAAGGAAACACGAAGTTCTTAAATCTTCCAGTCCTCCTTAATCATATCAGCAGCCTTCTCGGCGATCATGATCGTCGGTGCGTTTGTGTTCCCAGAAGGGATCTGTGGCATGATCGAGGCATCGATCACTCGCAGTCCATTTACACCGTGTACCCTCAGTCTCGCGTCGACCACCGCCATTTTGTCGCTGGAGGGGCCCATTTTGCAGGTTCCGCACGGATGATAGATCGTCAGGGTGTAATATCGAGCGAAACAACGCCAATATTCAGCTGACGAGTACTCGAACGACGAGCATTCGGGGATCTTGTTTGGATTTGGTCGAGCTTTAAGTTGTTCCATCGTTGGGGTATTGGTCATGTTCTTGACGAACATCGCGCCCTCTGCCTGCGATAATTGAAAGTTGATCGATCTTAATTTGTTACGTGTGTCTGTATGTAATTGGATATTTTTTTCTGTGGTCGAATTTAGCCTCTGATATGATACGGTAATTTTTATTAAGTTGTATAATTGTACAAAAAGTGAGAGAAGTTATAGTTTTTGTTTATACTAGAAAGTTGTTCGGCAATGATTAGTTTATTTTAATGTATAATTTTTCATTTTTTAAACATGATAATTAATGTTGTAGCATAATGTTAATATTAAAGATTTCTTATGCTATGAGAAATTTATTCGGTATTAGCGCAGTATTAATATTCTATTCGTTGAAACTCGCCTTAATGAGCCATCGAGTGTTTTATGAATATTATAATTTCATCGTTTATATTTCATCTTTTACAGGAAGAGAGTTATTCAAATTAAACATTTCATATTTACCGCTGTATTAGCCACGGTGGATTTGAGTATAGTGTAATATGCCCAAAAATAAATAATTGCCAAAAATCATAATTTCAAAATGGCGACTGAAATTTTGTCCGATTATAAATTTTCAGTTTAGTCAAAGATGAACGATTCTTATAAATTTCAAATACTGAAACTAGTTGGGAAATCGTTGGGAAAAGTGTGCAGTATCGTGTAAAAATCATTTTCATTTCAGAAAATGTTTATTAGCGCAGTATTAATATTCTGTTCGTTGAAACTCGCCTTAATGAGCCATCGAGTGTTTTATGAATATTATAATTTCATCGTTTATATTTCATCTTTTACAGGAAGAGAGTTATTCAAATTAAACATTTCATATTTACCGCTGTATTAGCCACGGTGGATTTGAGTATAGTGTAATATGCCCAAAAATAAATAATTGCCAAAAATCATAATTTCAAAATGGCGACTGAAATTTTGTCCGATTATAAATTTTCAGTTTACTCAAAGATGAACGATTCTTATAAATTTCAAATACTGAAACTAGTTGGGAAATCGTTGGGAAAAGTGTGCAGTATCGTGTAAAAATCATTTTCATTTCAGAAAATGTTTCGTATGCACCAATCCGATAAAATTAAAATCGTGTTTGTAGAATGATTTAACTGTTTGTCGGTAACTAACGAATTAATCAGATCTATTACCAAAATATCCAGATCATGCGGATCGTCGAAGTAATTTGGAACGATTATCGGATGGACACGTGGATCTGACGAGTTCAGCTTAACGTATCCCCTGCTTCGAGGTCTCAATAACAGCGGCATGACCGTGTACGAGTCCATGTACAGGATATTTTCGTACATATGCGCGTAAAAATCATCCCTAATGTTGCAATCCCTCTTTCCAAAGAGACCACCGTCGGTATTATCAGACACGGAGGAAAGGAACAGCTGTATATCAGGATAATCCGCTGACTTGTTTGCGTATCTGAAAACAGGATTTATTCGCTCGGTGAATAACACATCTTGGAGTAAATACTGATTAATAGAGAAGCAAATAACCGCAGAAAGATCCACCACGCGATGGACCCTTGCAATGTTGTCGCAATTATTGCGTGTATTATCCCTGATTGTCCTGAATTTTGTTACCGTGTGTCAGATTTATCGGTTTGGATTTTGTGTGCATCGAGGATAATTTAAACGATGTTAAAAGAGTTCCTTTTTTTTTTTAGTGAGAGAGGGTGATAAATTTATAGGTTGTGTAACGTTGTACTTGAGATTTTATGACATCATCGAGGGTAGTTAAGGTAATGATGAATCTTGTAGTTAGGAGAAGGATTGTTATTGTAGGAAGTGCTGTGTATAAAACTGTTCAACTAGAATTACAACGTTTTGTTACATTCACGTTCAAAGTCTTTTGCGATATATTTTTGCAGTTCGTAGAAAAGTTTTTTGGGAGCAGGTAGGATGACTCTTCGGTGGTTTTCAAAGTCAAGCTGCATTCCTCGGGGTAAATCTTAATATGGGTGACCCACCGTTAGAAAAATAATTCTTCTGATATTTCACAAGGGAACACCCTCTCTCTCTGATATTTTCCAACGAAGGGGCAACTTTTCCAACTTCCGTTATAATATTATAATATAAATGTAAATTACACCGATAAGTTTTCCAACGTATGAAGGTGTTGGAACATTATGAAGTATAATGTTATGAATGTAAATTATGCTATTTATAAACTAATACCGACGTTACTAAATAGTTAAGTAATTATAAATTAATACAAAAAATTGTCAAGCTCTACTACTACCAATCAAAATACGATTTTACTGTCTTCTTCCCATTGAAAATAAGCGTTAGAAAGATAATTGAATCAAAAATATTATTAGAATCACAAAAGAACAATTACCATTTTAGTCATAAAAGAGTACATATCACGAGAGAAACGATTAATTTTAGAAAATATAATACAAGAAAACTTGGCCAATGTTTTGTTATCAATAAATGAAAAAATACTCACTTGGTATTAATGAAAGCCATACCCTCGGCAACGGTCGTCGTGTACAACACTCCGCTACGGTTTATAGCAAATTGCCTAAGAGCTGCAGCGGTGATAGATTTTGGCAAATTAAACGTGAAACTCCGAACACCAGTGTCGTTCGCTGGTCTAGTCACTAAAAAATTCATTCCACCAATAGCCACGTGATCTTGAAGATTTTCACCTACTCCAGGAACATCTTTGACCAAAGGAATCTTCAGCTCGTCCAAATGATCCTTTGGACCGATTCCTGATAGCATCAACAATTGAGGCGACTGTATTGCTCCAGCAGAGAGAATCACTTCGCGACTGGCTTTCACTATACGACGTTTAGATCCTTTTCGAAACTGTACGCCGTAGGCAGTTTTAGAGTTTCCATCTGCAAATTAGAAGAGTTGAATTAAATATGTTTTAATTACGCGATAAAGAAAAAATACGTTTTAGTACACCCAAAGGGAAAATTCTAAATATCTTGCCTTGGGCCATTTTCATAATCACCGGCACAAATAACGAATTCATAAAAAAGATAGTCTAGTCAGGAGTATAATCATTTGTCAAAATTAATTTCTAGAAATAAAATGGAAAAAGTGAGTGACCTTCGCGTATTAAAATCTTCTCCGCCATTGAAAGTGTGCTGATATGTAGATTCTTCCTCTTCCCGGCTGTCCGAAGGAAAGCTTTCGCGGTGCTGCATCGCAGCCCATCCCTCAGTGTCCCATGGGACAAAGTAAATCCAGTTTGAGTGGCTCCATTCACGTCCACGATGTCGTATCCCATTTCTGTGCCAGCTTTTATCAAGGTTTGGGTCACGCTTGAATAATACTTGAAATGCTCGATGGTCAGGGGTCCACCTGTGCTGTGGTAAGGGGAATCTTGGTACTTTTCGATCGTCATGTTCTCAGATTTTTTGAAATAGGGTAACACTTTCTCGTAACTCCATCCTGGATTGCCCATCTTCTCCCAGCTGTCGTAATCCTTCTTGTTACCACGGACGTAGAGCATCGCGTTGAGGACGCTACTTCCGCCGAGCACCTGGAGAATTGTGCGTATCAGCGATTTCCTACCTTTTCACGTAAAGTAATTATTAAAATTCTACGGTGTACCAAATAATACATTACATTCTTTCGCCGATCTGACAAAATAGTATAGGGAGAGTTCCCCTGGGCGCTGGACGCTTAAGGTGTTTCTTAAATAAATCTCTCTACCTGTTCACACGCGACTGAAACGCGTAGGAAACTCTAGGAGATACGCAGAATAACGGCTCCGTAGCGTTTCAATTATTGCAGATATAACTAATGTCCGATATTAGGTGCCGTCCGGCGTTAAGGGAACTCACCCTACATTTTTGACTGATTTAAGGTAATTTCGGGAGAGACAGACCAGGCAAGTATTTCCTACATTATCCGCTGGATATGGAACCAAAAGCACTGAGAGTAAAACAAATGTAAAAGAAAAGAATACTGACGCGTTCCACATATGGCGGATAATGTAGGAAATACTTGCCTGGTCCGTCTCTCCCGGAATTACCCTACGAAAACAATTATATTTTTTTTCATTATTTTTTTAACTTGTATCAACACCTTAACGTTCATGCTCGTGGTTCACGCGTACAGGACTAATCGTCCAATAAGTGCAATTTTTTAAAATTATTTTCCTTCAGTTTCCATATTGCGTTGTTCTTTCTATTGCGGCAAAAAAGGGTAAGTTACGCCGTTAGAAATAAAGGGAAGTTTGTTTCTATACGCCTAAGAAGTAATTATCTTATTTAGAAGCATTTTATTTTCACAAGGAAAATTGCAGAAACCGTTTACATTTCTTAGATATGTTGTTTTTAAATAAAATAAGTTGTTTCTTAAAGAAAATGTGAGTTTCCCGTAAACCCAGTGTTAAGTTGAGAAAAATGTGTCCGTTAAGGGGTTAAAAATTCTTGGACACACCTGTGGACCTCTCGCGACACACCGGTTGAAAATCAGTGGTGTATATTAACGAATTTCCAAAAGCTAATTGCGCGAACAGGATGTGGAAATGTTGAGAATTTTAGCGAATATTGGAGGAGTGATAGCGAGAGGAAATGTGAAATCTGTATGGGGTGGTAATGATGAGGGGACGCTAAAGCACGTGTTGGAGGATTGAGAATGGAAAGAGGAAGTTGCACTCTGATGCAGGCGCTAGGGGGAAGGAAGAAAGATGGTAGTTAATTAGCTGAGGACAGTAGAGAGCGAGTTAACCCTTACGTCAATAACCGTAGCACATTTTCCCACATTTTCTCACTTAAAATATTCTATCTTCCCGGTGAAAGTATGAAAAATTAAGCACTAGACTTTGATACTAAAATTGGTTTAAAGCAAATTTAGTTTAAATAACAGCTACTTATCATTAAAATTCACACGTCACACGTATGTGACGCTGGTAGCGAACGTGTTAAATTATAGAAGTTCAACTTTCACCGTAAGAATTTTAAAAGTAAATTTTAAATTTAAATAATTAAGTTCAACTTATTGCGGACCAGTCGTTTTCACTAAAAATGACTAAAATCAAGTTGTTTTAATCAATTACCGATTTAAGCGACTGAAGCTTCTAATTATTTTTTGGAGCTCAACCTCAGCGAATGCATTCATCGAATGCAATTACCAAGTCTAATTTTTTTGCCGTTTCAAGCTTTCAAAAAATCTGAAAAAATTCTGGAGGACTTATCGAAGTTTTTACTACATTATACAAATACTCTTTAAGCCAGACGTTCAAAACTTCTTTCAACAAAAATAAAAAATTCACTCCGAAGAAATACGGGAGTGAAATTTCACTTGGGTCATCGAAGACCCGAATTAAATTTTAAACAATCGTTAGAACTTTTATTTCATAACAGTACCTTGCCACGAGGCCAGTTACATCTATGCTCGTTCATCGCCTTGCAATAATTATCCGACGGATGCGTTTTGTACTGCCAGTCGAACGGTGTCAGCTGAATAATCGGAAACATAGCTGGCACGTCGGACAAATCTGGCTCGTCTAAGCCGGCTTCCAATAACAGTACCGACCAATTGCCATTTTCTGATAGGCGATTTGCTAACACAGATCCAGCGGAACCTCCTCCGATTATCACGAAATCGTAGTTGCTTTGAAGATTAAACAACGACACTGGATGCACTCTCGACTTGCTGTCGATGATGTCCGGTCTATGCATGCCAATCAGCATACGCAGAAGGACCAAGAAACTCAGTTCTGGCCCGTATGACACAGCTATTCTCATCGCGGAGATCCTTGTTATAGCCGACATCCTCTTCCCTTTTTTTATAATTACTTAATTAATTATAATTATAATTAATTAATCGAGACTTGTGCTTTCTCCTCTTTTCTTCTCTTTCTCCCTTTTCTCCGCAATTATCACGATATCGTCGAGTAACTTTTTTTTACAATTCTTACGATATCGTCGAGTAATTGTTCTTGTAATTCTTCAGAAGTTCACAGTTGAATTTTTGCACAGTTGCTGTTTCAGACTTTCGATCGTGGAACAGCGAAGCCGCGAAAACAGCAAGTGCTCAGTAGAGTAATTTTTACAGCATGCAGTTAGTCGAGGTTTCTAATTGTGTGTTGTAATTTTTCTTAATGACGCGTGGATCTTTTACGAAGATATTTTTGCAACGTTGTTTGGAGCTCTAATTCTTGCTTGGAGCACTTACCGTTGATAGACTTTTTGCGAATTTTATTTGGAGCTTCGGTAGTTAACGATTTCGTTGAATAATGTTTGTTTACAACAAGTTACAGTTATGTGAAGTCAGCACGTTACATTTGCCGCTTGCGTAACAAAGCGTATCTTCCTTGATATTGTTGGAATGTTTGAATACGTCATGAAAAATTTCTACGTGTTCCCTGCGAAAAAAAGTATTACCTTCGTTTGATTACTTTTATCGGTGATTCGTCATCAGTGGATACTTTAAATTGTTCACTGCCAAGGATAACTATAATCATCAGTTGTCGAATGAAACTGTTAAGAATTATATTACTTTCTGTCTTTGATTATCGTCATTATTGTATATTTTATTTGGAATTTTCTCAAGTTACGTGTTTTTCCACTGCGTGACGTAATTGACCTACTTTTAATATTTCTTCACACGATATGATGCTCGCGTGTCAAGAAAATTAATTAACAACTACCTGTTGTTCACAGTTTCTTATACAATTTTATACGAAACGTCTGGTGAAGGTAAATCAAATTTTGCGATCAATCTGAATCACTTTGAAAAGTTCAAAAATATGTAGTTAGTAAAATATAGAAAAGGGGACTTAATTGTAATTTGAAAATAAATTTCCATTCTTTTGTGAATAATTTAAAGAACGTCCATCTCTCGTGTGTGTTCTTTAATCAGCAACGCTGACTGTCGTATCGCTAATTTATCAGAAATTTTACAAACCTGCATTTTACACGTGGAAATTTAAAAAACATTCGTAATACACAATCAAAAATTGTACAATTTTACATACCTTTGTTTCTCATAGGAATAAGAAACAGAAATAATTGTAGAACATACACACCTTAATGAGAAGTTTTATCACTGAAGCTACTTAGGCAGAAAATTCAATTCTGCGTTAACGAAGCACTTCTGACTCGATTTAAAAACCACTAAATACCATCAAGTTATTCAACGTTTAGCTTAAAGACCATATGTAAGGAACGAAGTATCGTAAATCGAACGAATCTGTTATACTGCACTCGCAAAAAATGTTTACTTGATGCACAATGTTGAGTCACAGTGATAATCCAGCAAACCATGAAAGACTGACTGGATAAAAACGAAGTAAAACGCGGGGTTGGTACATATTGCTGAATCAGCTATTTTTTGAATTTATTTGGGTAAGATTTGTGCTGCGTCCATTGAAATCAACGTGGAACATTAGTCAACGTGTCTGTAAAATATTGAGATTAATGGGTAATGTCCGTACATGTGATTCTCGTTCGTTCAAATAAATTAAATCCGCGACTGAGAGTGAATTTCGTTGATTGACATGCTTATAACTGACTTATACGCAACAATATTTCGTTTTATTCGTGTCATTCTTAAGTGTATTTACATTAACAAGGAAAATCTGCATCGTTGCATCGTTTACAAAATATATAGTACAATTTGCTATTCACAGATTACGGTTTCTATGAGCTTAAAAGTACTTAAAAGTTGAGAAAAATATATTCTGAAGTAGAAATCGGAAGCGTTGTTCAGCATCTTTCTTAACTAATTTCTCTCAGGTTTGAAATGTGTAATAACAACGTTCAGAAATAATTCTGAAAATAATACAAAATTTTCGAAGAACGAAGCAAAGATGAAATATTGTTCAGCAGAAAATTATAATCACCGTCATTTATTCATTTTCTGTAAAGTTTAATTATTACTGATTAGGCAGAAAGCTATAAATTTCAGTTAAAAAAGTTTGTTTCTCTGTTAAACGTATAAAATTCTGTATACCTAATTAAATTTTTCTAACTACAATAAATACAGCTAACAATGATATTTCTAAGAAAAACATATACAGAGCGGTCAATTTTTTCTTACAAAAGAATCGACTAATAATTGTACCAAAAGGTGTAACACTTAACTATTATACTTTATAGCAAGATTTTCGTGTAACTTTATACCACCGTCAACGCTATCAAACTAACTTATCTAACAATATTTCACAGTTTCTCCTTGGAAAAATACAATATTTTCATATGTACAAAAATTCTAATCGCTCAGTCCTCAAAT